ACGTTAGGAAACAAAACTTCCAGAACACAGCCACACAGCCTGGAAGACCCACACCAGCCAAAAAATTGATCAATTAGGGAGCAGTCTGAAATTCCTGAAGAGGCTGCTAAAGATCTGCAAGTTGCTGCAGATGTCTCTTTCTGCAAGTAGAAATGGAGATCTGTGAACAGAGAGAACAAAGTAAGCTGTGAACCAAGATCCTCTGCTGTGGTGGCTCAGCTAGTTCTGTTGGTCTATTAGTGATGACAGTCAAATAGAACATTCTAGGGCATGCTTTGTGCTGAACCTGCAGGATTCTGATCCCGCTCATTCTTTCTAAATAATCACATTGGTTTCAGTGAGGAGGAACAAGGATGGGGTGGGAGTGAGGGGGGTACAGACACAAAGGTACTTCAAAACATAGCAGCACCCCTGCTTATCGTGAAGCCAGCAAACTTTAGATACGTCTGATTATCTGTAGATATCCTGTCCCTGTGCCCACCCACCTCAATAAGTACATTTGCTCTGTTAATTAAAACTCATGTAAGGGTTCCATTAATTTCCTTTTATTAAATTGCAGTCATATTAAATAACAACAATATTTCTCTTGTCCTTATAGCCATCCAATGTGCTTCCCATCCTAGAAAGTTTTGGAAATGCAAAGACTGTCCTGAATGACAACTCCAGCCGTTTGGGAAAATTCTTGCAGGTCCATTTGAAACAGTGAGTAGAGAAAGACATTCAGATGGGCATATTCCTGCTGTAAACCTTAGTGGGTCCAACTATCCCTCCCAAACATATGTTTAATAATTGTTTTAGCTGATAAATATATTTATGTTGGCTCGATTTATCAATAATCTGGTAGCTAAATCAAGGTTCCCTGATTGAGAAGTCTGTCTCTCAGAAGCTGGAGCTACTATTCAAGCTTCTCTTCATTATGGGGAAAAATAACTTGCTGTTAATATCCTGATCTACACTCCAAAGAGTCTTAACTATAGGATCCTTTCCAGTGATAGACACTCACAGGGTTTACCCATCTTTAGTTTATTATGATTTTGTGAATAAACCACAGTTGGCTTGGTTCATACAGCATGTTAACCCCAAACCAGTCACATTAGCACAGTGTGTAAACCCAATCTGTCCATTGACACTTAAATGGTAAAAATCTAACTGAAATATGGAAAGGAGTTAAGGTTTTTTTCACTATGGGATGACATAGAACCGTTAAGGTTTGCTGTGAACTGTCAAAATGTAATCTATCAACAGCTCTAATCTCCAGGTGTTTCTTTTGAAAGTTAATCTATGCTGAATTCATTGGCTAAGTCACATGTAATGCTAAGCCACAATGTTTTAACCATTGTTGAGCAAAGCATACGTGATTCATATATAACGCTATGCCAGACAAAAATAAATCATTGCGTAGTGTTAGGTGCAAACCAGAGAAGGAGTGTCTAAACTTTTTCTATTCTGAGATTGCAATATTGATTTTGGAAGTAATTTAAATATAGTGGTGATGAGCTCTCTTAATGAGTCTCAGAATTTTGCTGGGTCTTACTTCCTCTTCTTGATTTCAAGTACAAAGTCTATAGTCAGGATAAGAAGTAAAATGACTCCTTTTAAAAGAAGATTTTTTTCCCCCTTATAGTGGTTTCATTGTGGGTACATTGATCTCTCAGTACCTTTTGGAAAAGTCTAGAGTTGTTTTTCAGGTAAGGTTCATTCATCCTTACATGTCAGACCAGATCAGTTATGTGTATGCATTCTATAATTACAGTATGTATCAAAAAATCCTAGTTGTGTGGCCTGTAAATCCATACAGTATTCAACGGAACTGAATGTTTGGTAAAAAGAATAATTGTGAAATATATTCACCTTGTAGAGATTTGCACTTAGGCTAGATGTTTGAGAGTTGCCCCTGAGCTCCTGAAGTGGAAAGGACCACATTGTCCTGTACAGAAGCTCCAACTCCATATAAGAAGCACTTTATAAATCCCAAAGATACTTGAACAAAGTTATAGATTTAACTTGTTTGGAGGCATGGATTATTGCTGTTGTTAAAACAATGGAGAGTACCTTCCCATGGGCAGCTCTTCTCATTACCAAATAAAAGGCCCTGTGTGGCTCTGCTGTATTTGCTTCCTTCTTGTTCTTTGTCCTTCTCTTTTTTGGTGGCAACAGAAAAGATAGAAAACATGAGAGGGTTATGAGGGGAAGATTCATCATCTAGAGTTCCTGTGAAATCCTGTGAATGAGGCAGATTAATTTCATACTACAAGCTCTGAAGAAACTCTGTCAATCAGTTTTTTATCAGTACCTCAACCTCACAGAGATGCTTTTAAATAACACTACTCTTGGCAATGCCCCCTAAGGGACTCCCCACTAGCCTGGCACCTTCCATATGTATTAGGCAATTCCCAACACATCTGGTGAGTAGCAGGCCGAGATAGGCTGCTTTGGAGCCTCTTCTCTTTTCTTTTCATGTTTTCTTTTTAAGGGATGTGGTGAGAGAAGCTTCCATGTCTTTTATGAGCTATTGGCTGGCCTGCCGACAGAACAGAAAGAAAAACTGTATTTGCAAGAGCCGGAGACTTACTTTTATCTCAATCAGGCAAGTAAACAGATGCTCCAGAGATATGATTCAACTATAACAGGATTTGTCCTTGCATTACACCAAGGGTGGAAGAAAGGGTGGAAGAAATGAACCCCAGAGCTCATTTTTTCAATGGCCTCCAAACCCCTTCTGATTGCGCTGCTAACTCTTCATATCATTTTAAGGAACAAAATACAGTAAAGAGTGGAAAACAGTCTGCGGGTGTATGTCTGCCTGTCTGTAATGTGTGTGTTTGTGTGTGTATGTATACACATAATCACCCCCATCCCATAAAAAATAGGATATCTCAGTTCCTGCCACACATGAGAAAACTCCATCCATTGTGGCCCTTTCCCCATCCCATAAAAATATTAATATATTGAAGTATATTGCATATTGAAGGCTACCCAATAAACACACAAGAGGATCAGTCATGGTAAAAGGAGTGTTTGATTACTGGAGAGCAGTTTTTTTAAATAAAGATGACTGGTGTGTAATAGCCATTCTCTGTTCTAAAGGATTCTTAGTACTTTTGTCAAACTATAGTTTCTAAGAACAGAAAGGTTTGTACCATGTTGTTTCTCTCAGATCAGTTTCTGATGAAGTCTGGCTATCACCAAATGGTCCCCCCTCTTACTATTCACCAGTTAAAGGAAATTATATAAGCTGAGCTTTCTATCTCCAACTGACTTCAGTGTAATCAACTGTTTTATTTTCCTTCTGCCTGGGACAAGGGTGCCCCGCTCTTTTACGATGAGAACAACTTTGGTCCCATGAATGGTGTGCCAGGGACTCCACTCTAAGAGTCAGCAGGCCAAAGACAAAGCAATAGGCAGGGCCAGGGAAATATCATAAAGGTGTTCATGATTCAAGTTAATAACTAACGAGAAGCTTATGTTCTCTTCCAGGGTAGAACATGCAAGGTTTCAGGAAAATATGATGATCAGGATTTTCTAGTCTTGATTAAAGCTCTCCAGATGATTGGTCTTTCTGAAGACCAACTGACTTCCATCTGGGCAGTCCTTGCTGGAATCCTGCAACTAGGAAATATCTGCTTTACCTCCTTTGAGGTATGTTGCATTCTTGTTAATTTCAGGCAGTATTAATAATGCTGCTTGAGTCCAATATCCTCTCCATTCTCTGCACTGGGCCGCCGTTTTTCTCCAAGAAAGAGATACATGAACGCCTATTCAGATTAGACTAATAAGATGGTTAAGTGTTAACCTTGGAATATTCCATTTATTTATTTACAATATTTATGAGCCACCCCAATCATATAAACCCTGGATGGTGTACAACAAAGCAAGAAACAACAAACACTACAAAAACATAAAATAATAAAATATGTTCATGTAATTGCATAGTGAGCATTGCTATTACATCAATAATATTGGTGTAAGTACAATACATTTTGATATGAAGTACATATACACTCTTACATATAATGCCCTCATTTTATTGTCTCTCTTTCTCTTGCACATGCATACACACATGCACGCACACACACTCATATTACTTAGAAAGAATCCTTTGAGCCTGTGGTCATCCCCAGTGAAACTGAAATCCAGATTGTTGCCAAGTTGCTGCATGTTTCGGCAGATCTTCTTCACAGAGCCATCACTCATCGAGTCACTGTGAGTATCATTCCCCCTTCTAGCCACATCTCATGAGTTTGCATTGGGCTCTCTGTAGAGGATTTGAAGTTGAGTGATTCTGTGTGTTATGCTGGAGTTAGCATAGTCTCTCTTTTGCCTCTTGTGGCCAACTAGGAAATGGTTAGTTGCCAGACCTTGCAAGAGGATGGTGGGCTACTAGGAGCCAATCAGAGAACTGGGTGGCTCTTAGACGGTGGTCCTTGAAAGAGGCTGACCTTGGAGGGTGAGTTTTTTCTCTGGTCCACAACTTTCTCAGCAGAAGAGCTGGGGATGGCACTGGGTATCTGTCAGGCCAAGTGTCTGATATACTGTAGCCATCTATTCTGAACCAGAATAAGTAAACCTTTTACCCTTTTTATCTCAATGTAAATATTTAGGAATATATACACCGCAGCTTTCCTTCCTTGGCTGGCCTTTCTCATCTGCTTTCCCAAAGCGATTCCCTTCCTTGTAATTTTTCTGGCCTTGCTTATAAGATTACTGTATTCCTCAGTGACGACAGCAAAAAATTGAATTACTTTATTGTGCTAACAGTAATAAAATATGTGTTTGATTTGCTGAAGTTAAAGGTGCATAGTTCAGTTTCAGATACTAAAAGGAAAAGAAAGAAAAAGCATATTGTAAGTCCCTAACATTTTTGTAGCATTGTATACAGAGAAGAATTTTAAGATTTCAATCCATGAATTATGAAAATTCCAGAAGGACTAAATATCCCAGTATGAGTGTTTCTCTTGTGGCTCAAGAGGAAATAGAGGCTCTTCCTATTTTTTGTCCTGATAGCTATGGATTCTGGTTCAGGTACAGGGATTCCCCAGTGTCACTGGAAGAGGCACATGGGCTTTTGCATTCCAAAAATGTTGGATTTCTAGGTAGCGTCTATTTAATATTTTGCTAGTCATTCTGTTTTAAAAATCAACACTTTTGTCAAATGAGTATAACTGACAGACTAATTGGATGTTGCAGGTTACACTCAGGACAGAGGATAGTTTTAGTACAGCTTTCCAAAGTCATTTGCTTTAGTTTGCCAATGACAGAAATCAACACAAGGGTTTATGTATTGAACTCAGAATGAATTCTTACTTGTTCAGGAAATGCTAGTAAAATATGAAGTACAAAGGCAATATCCTGTGTCTGTTTCTGGTGTCTCCCTCTTTGTGGAGAAGAAACTCTTTGGCAAGAATAGATGGCTAGTAGATGTTACAGATAAGCATCCCAGTTCAGGCAGTCCTAAACCATGGTTGCAAAAGAGCTATACACAAGTTCAGAAGTTTTATCTCTCCTTTTTACTTGAAAGGGGGGAGAAGAAAATCTGCTTCATTTTTTTATTAAACCATTGTCTCCTATTTATATTTTAACTATATAGATCTCTCAGTTAGAGCTTGTGTTTTATTGCATGTCTTAATCGCAATATTTGTAAGTTCAGTATTTGTCTGAATCTGGTCAATGGCCTGAAGAAGATAGAGGAAGTCATTGAATGGCCTTCATGGGCACTTCACAGTTCAGAAACACAGAATAGATGCTTTACTTGCAGAACATTTTTCACTTCTCATGAGTTCTGGGAAGTTTACCAGGACACTGCTAAATGATTGGTTGATTTTATCCTGTATATTATTTTTATGATTATGTTGCTGTGGTGATATTATATTCCTTTATAAACAAAAGTATTTTAACTATATAGATCTCTCAGTTAGAGCTTGTATTTTATTGCATGTCAATTGCATTATTTCTTTCTCTACCAGGCAGGACAGCTTTTATACTGCTTTTGATAGTTGCAGTATAATATTGGGTTGGATCCAAGTTAAGGGAGTAGACTTCATTACTTAACTAAGTCTACTAATTTCAGCAGGAATCCTATACAATTAACTTGGTCTGGATCCAACCCTTCATTTGCTTTTAATTTTCTATGAGTTATCAAAAAAAATATGTTCATAAATAGTGGATTCAGTTAGGTAGGTAGGTAGGTAGATAGATAGACAGACAGATAGATGATAAATATATAGATATTATATCCCACTGTAATGACTGGTGCTAATCTGGCAAAACATTTGGGTATCAAGATATTTATAATGTGCAGTTTTTTAATTTATTTCCAGAACCAGGTGATCAAAGGAATGCACACCTTACATTAATACCTTTTAAGAGGACAGATATGAACATACTTGGTGGATATGTTCTTACCGCACACCAACTTGACAATTACTAATGACAGCTTAACAGTAGAACCAATTATTCAGAGAGGTGGCAGGCACCCCTTCATTGGAGGTGTTTGAGCACAACTTAGACAACCATCTGTCAGGGATAATTTAATCTGGAATTCTGCATTGGCAGGAGATTGGAGTCCATAGTCTAAATGCCTCCCTCACTTTAACCAATGAATTAGATGTGATAGATCTTATCAAACTCAGTATCTAATGGCTCTTTTTTTTTTTTTTTTCAGGAAACACGTTATGACCAGATACTCACTCCATTGTCAGTAGAAAGTGCTATAGATGCCAGGTAAATTTCCCTTTCTTTCTCTGACACCCTAAACATTTCATCCATGTACTAATCCTTCTCTTGCTTTCTCCCCCTTTCCCCCTCCACTCCTTATTCAGGGATTCTATAGCCAAGGTTTTGTACTCTCAGCTGTTTGATTGGCTGCTGCTGAAAATCAATGAGTGGCTAGCTCCCTTGGAAATGGACAGCACCGTTGGCATTGTTGACATGCATGGATTTGAGGTCACTTTCTACGTACAACGTTGTAGTATGCTTTTGATTGGGGGAGGGGTATAGTTTGTGGTCTCCCCTCTGCTTGGTTGGGTATAAATGTTGATGAAGACCTACCTGAAGTGCCTTGCCTAGTGGAGGATTGTAAAACCAGAGCCAAGCATATATGTTGAACAGGATCAGATGGAAATATCTTAACCCAGCAGCTGATAGCTGCAATTACACTCTGGCCCTCTGCAGTGATGGAACTAGAACATAGTATTGAGCAGATCTTGCTAATGTTTTTTTTGTCAGCTACCTTGCATGTCAGGGCATGTATACACTTGCTATCTTACCTTAGTTCATGATTATAGGATGGAGGAAAACTCTCCAAGCTGTTGTGGGTCCCTCCTTATCTCCAGTGAAGGAAGCTGAGATACAAAAGAACTATTTTTCCTATCCTTTTCATTACTCAATTATCTCAATAAGGAGATGACTCATAGCTTCCCTTTAGAGGAGGAAAGTCCAGAACTACATAAATATAATATTTTAACCTTAACCAAGAATTGTGGTGTCTTAAAATCTATGGTGTTGTTATGGCAGAAGCATTTTGTGGACTGCAGTTTGTTGTTCATACTGCAGGAGACCAACATGACTTGTCTCCTAGAAGCCGTTTTAATGTTATTTACTTCATGTTCTTTCTGCTTAACTTCACCTACTACTTCATCTTCATCTGCCTGAAGCAGAATGATTTCCCCCTTGTTAGGGAAGCATTGTAATCCCAAAGAAGAAGAAACAATAAAATTTCAATTCTCAGCATTTGAAACCTGTCCAGCTTACCGTATATGCTAAAGCCATACAGTAAGCTAATTGCAAAGATGCTTAATTCAAGGCCACACAGTCCTATGCTTGTACCCTCTCCAAAAAGTTGGAGTGTGTTCTTTTACCAATTTGTAAGTTTTAATGTTGACACAAGGGGAAAATTCTTAAATACAGCAGGTGACTGGTGAGTAATATTACATGTATTTCATTTCAAGTAAAGGTAAATAAGATGAAGTCAACTTTAGTTTTTGTCCCATCCCTATCCACCATTTGGGGAGTGACTCCTAGTACAGCTGATTAGAAGAATTCCCCACCTTCAGCCAAGCGCATAGTGGTTTGTTTGCAAGCTTGTGAACTGGAAGTGAAAGAAGTTTGGATCATGTTTTCTTTTTCTTTTTTTGATCTGCAGGATCTTGGGATGAACAGCCTGGAACAGCTGTGCATTAATTTTGCCAATGAACATCTCCAGCACTTCTTCCATCAGATAGTTGTCACCCAAGAAGAGGTAAGAGAGACAATTAGGAATGTGTGGGTGCACAACTGCATAAGAACATTAAAGAAAATGTCACCTTCTACAGAGACAGTTTGGTGAGGTTGCTCCTTCCCTGTGCAAAGGGAAGTGGGGTGTAGTAGTTAAGGTCTTCAATTAGGAGTGGGGAGACCAAGGTTCAAGTCTATCCTCACCCATAAAAGCTCACTGGATGACTTTGTCAGCCCAATGTACTCCTCAGGACTCCTGGGGGAGAGAAGAAATTGGAGGGAATACTATGTATGTTACCTGGAGCTCTTTGGTACTGCCCACTGTGGGCAATTGCAGGCATATATCACATATTTGGGTCTTTATTCCATATTTTCTAAATTTTACAACACTCATGCAAACATTTATGTGATGTGCATGGTTTTGTACTTGCAATGGGAAACACTAAAACACTAATTAAGACCTTGTTTAGAAATATGAGTATTTTGTGTAATGTCAATGGGATTTTACTTGTATGATCTCTGACTACTGTACTAGGAGGAGTATACCCAAGAAGATCTCCTCTGGAGTCCTGTGTCTAAGATGCCTTCTGAATTGTGCCTGGATCTGGTAGCTGCAAAACCCCACGGGATCTTGCATATCCTGGATGAGCAAACTCTCCTGTCACAGGTCAGGACTTTATTAGGGTTCATGTTCCTCTATGCATTTGGAATGCAGAAGACTTCTATCAGCAGAATGAGCTTTTTGTTTTGCTGTATGCCCTATCCCTGCTTTTGGGTCCAGGTTGCCAGATGACAAGTTCTGGAAAACCCAGAATCTTTTACACCTTTGCATTTTGTTAAATCCTAATGAAGGCATTACCCAACTCTGGATTTTGCATTTTCTTTCTTCATGAAGCAATGCATGATTTTGATAATATATGAGAATATGTTGTAGCCATATCTGATTAACAACAGATATGGGCATAATGAAACAACTTTGCACAAATAGCATCTGGAAACCTTCATTGTTTTCTCCCAAGTTTGCACATCATGAATAAATGGCATATGCATATAATAGATATCAATTCATAGTCAATCTCATAGTGGACATCTCTGAATTTCCAAATTGTTTTCTGACAGAAACGTAATGATCTTAAATAAAACTACATTTCCCTAAACATCAGGATTATTCTGAAGATATTTCCCAGTTTTCAAAGATAGCTGTCAGCCAAAAGACTAAAACTCGACATGATTAGGAGGGGCAGCTGAAGTCATTCTTAATGTATATCCAAATCCGTTGTCAGGATTTTGGACAGTAAGGACCTTACTGGATATATTTTTCATCAGTTAGTCAAAGCTTGAGAGCCAGTTTGTCTAGTGGTTGAGGCACCAGGTTAGAAACCGGGAGACTGAGTTCCAGTCCCACCTTAAGCATGAAGCCAGCTGGGTGACCTTGGGCCAGTCCTTCTCTCTCAGCCTTAGGAAGGAGGCCATGGCAAGCCACTTCCAAAAATGTTGCCAAGAAAACTGCAGGGACTTGTCCAAGCAGTCGCCAGGAGTCAACACTGACTTGAAGGTCAAAAAAAGGTCAAAGCTTAGATAGAGATTCAAACTCCTTCCCACCTTTCTTATAGGTGATGGTGCTATTATAAAGGATGTTTATCTCCAAGGACGTTCATTCCTCCCCAGAAATCAAGCCCTTGAGCTGGCAAAAAAACCCTAGTTTCCTATTCTCATACCAATATTTGTAGATGTGACTGCTGCACAAGGGTAGAAGATAAATGTCATAAATATAGATAATATTCATGCCTTGTATATATATTCATATAGAAATATTATAACACTTGGTTATATTTGTGGGTGTGGCTCTCTAAAGCTTCCAAATGCTTCCAAAGGATACAATGGATGTCATTGCTGACTGTAATATTTTGTGCCTCAAAATTTAATCTCTTTCCAGGCTACAGACCACACCTTTCTTCAGAAATGCCATTACCGTCATGCCAACAATCGTTGGTATGTCAAGCCAAATCTTCCTTTGCCTATCTTCACTGTACAACATTATGCAGGACCAGTTACTTACCAGGTATATTGAGAAGTTTCAACTTCAAACATTCCTGCTTTCATGTGCCTGAGGGTAGCCTAGGGAGGCAGAATTTTAATTATTGTATGGGACGAAGTGGTCTTGATTTCATCAACAAAGTGAGATAGATATTCTAAGGTAAGGAATCTTGGTTACAGCATTCCTAGCTGCCGGTTTTCAATAAATAACTAAGAAAAAGAATCTGCACGTGGCACCTTTTTCATTTTGGCTTCGTTGTCCACCTGGAGCGCATAATGAAACCCTAATGTTAGCTCAAAGGTGGTAACTTTCCTTTTAAAAGTTCTTTCTAAATGTTCTTCTTACACATTATGATCATGGTTTTAAATGGTTCTCTACAAAAATAAGAACTGGATTTTTTTTTAAAGGCAAAGTAAAATTAAAGTAATATTATTGTGGGTGTCAAAATTGTGTACTTTACAGGTAAAAACAGAAGCAGCATTTTAATTTTCAAAATAATTCAGACAAAATAGTAAGCCAGAATTGCTGAGATGTTGGCTTTTTGGTCCTGAGCAAGCATGTATTTGTATACTGTTCAGTCTTATTTGCTAATGAGAGCAGCTATAGCTATCAGGAACTTACTAATGGTAGAAAGTTGAGTGATACATTTGCATCCAGACTCTTGACTGTCTTTTTTCTATCCAGTTAGCATTGGAAGTCAGGTTGAATTTTCAAGTTAGGAGAAAAGGTCAGAATCTGAATTTAGTCCTCTCTTTGGGGGCTGATACATTCTTGGTCCCTGTAGATCTCATTTGTAGGAAGAATCCCAGGGAGCATGATTAGCTGCAGCATGTCTACTTAGTCATTCTGGCTTACTCTTTTGTGTAAAATAGGTGAAGCCTAAGGATCCATCTTGGAAAAAGTCTGGAAATAGATAAGAGAAACATATACTGCAGGACAGCCACAGTGCAATTCAGAACGCATCTACCCAGACGTGAGCCCCCTTGAGTTCAATAGATTTTACCGCCTGAGTAAATCCATTTAAATTGCCAGCCTCCAATTAATTGAATTAAAAACCATAAACAAAAACCAACTGTGGGGTGATATAAATTCTGGCTTTTCAGGTTCACAAGTTTCTGAATAAAAATCATGACCAGTTACGCCCAGAGATCCTGGACATTTTTTCCCAGAGCCATCTCAAGGTACAGTGAATGTGTTAGGTTACTGTTTACTTTTAGTATATGCATAATTGTTTATCCATGAGATGGACATCTCTTAAAGACATTCCTCTTTAGATCAATAGAATAATCACCTAACCAGTCACATGTACTTTCTATAGCATATATTTATGCATGTTTAGGCTGACTTTATAATGAATGCATTATATAAATGCCTTCCAGGTTCTGCCTATTGTACAGACATTATATGACCAAACATTCACTCATAGGATGCAGTAGAATTGTGGAACTAGATATAATGGGGTGTGTGTGTATGAAAAACATCCTTTCATGGAATATTTGAATCTTGGAGCAGTCTGCTCTCTTGTTGACATGGCCTATTTTGGGGGTATACAACTTCTACAGCACTCCATGACATAATGCTTTATACACTCCTCGTGTAAAAAGCATCCATTCTCTTCTAGATGCCAATGTGTTTGCTTACTGAAGTTCAAAGCATGCCTCTTTCAGGTCTTGGGTGAATGGAGCATAAAAGGAATGGGCTCTTCTTTTTGCTGACTTTTCAAGTCAATATTCTGTGGTTATTTTGGTGATGAGTGGGGCTTTGATTCTTTTCCTGTGTTCTCTGAAGCTGGTGTCCAGCCTTTTCCAGAATGTCAGGGAACAGCAAATCAACCAGAGAGAGTCACATAGTAGAGTCCAAAGGCTAAAGCATCAAGCATCTACATTAGTGTCTAGATTCCAGCAATCCTTACAAGATCTCATTACTAAATTAGAGAGGTAAGGAAATATAGTTATATAGCTGCCATTTCCTGTGCCTATATTACCATATCTATGTTTGGAATGTGTGAGGATAGATTAAAATGGTACGCAATAGCAGAAAGAGGATCTAGTCACAAATACATTGTGAGGTAATTCTGAAGATACAGGTGCAATTTGTTGTTTTCAGCTATAGCCATAATGTTGCCCCAACCCACATATATATCTGTCTGTGATGTCAACAGGAATAAAACCCAACTTGGAGGAGACTTAATTTTAAAATAAACAAAGGCGAGTTCTAATTCCTATGACTTTCCCTATCCAGTGTAGCTAACTGGAAACTAATTTCCTATACTTGGCATGATCAGTAGTGACTTAAAGATTGCCTACAGCCTTCCATCTCATTCTATTCACTAATGACTTTTTTTTTTAAAGTCTGTTAATAGCTACAGTAACCAACAATAACCAATATCTTTTTAATACCAACACAATGTGAAATACACTCTTCAACATTAATTCATAGCAATGAAACAACAATTTTAGTTGTACTTTGTTACTGAGTCAGAGTAAATTCAAAAGTCAGTCTGCATCTATTTTAACAATATTTTTTTTCTCCATCTTTATAACAGCTCTCCTAAATTTGGCCTGTCAGGTCAGAAAATAGTGATTTCATTTTTCAGCGTTTCACTTTTTTTCCCTATATACCTTACAGGAGCCATGTTTTCTTTGTTCAGTGCATCAAACCTAATTCCAAAAAGGTAAGAAAGTCATTCTCTTTCCAGAACTGTAACTGAGGTGGTTGTCGATCACTTCCAAAGAATTGAATTGAACATTTGTGACAAGAAACAAAGAAATGAAAGTTGGAAAAATAGGAAGAAACAGCAGCACTATTTCATTTATGAAGAGCCATTTGTCAAAGCTGAGGAAGATTTGCACCTGAGAATTTGAGTTTTTCTTTCTTAAACAAAGCTAGAAACTTACTTTTAACAAGCAGCAACCAAGAACAACTGAGAATGTCAGCTAGTGTTTGTAGCAGGACTCAGCTGCTGCATCAAATTATATTTATTTAGAGGGTAACAGACAAACCATTTTGATTACTCAGAAGTTTATACCATCCTTCCACCTCAAATATCCACATCTCATTCATCCAGCAAAAAGTAATTAAGTGTGTTTTCTGAATGCTGTTAGCAAGAGAGAAGTAAGAAAATATTGAAGTTCAACCGTTACCACAGTGAGATGGGTTAAATTAAAGATTATGTTTACTTGGGAAAGTTAGTGTGTCATGTGAACACTGCAGCTCAGTTAAGCTAGCAGCTAACCCAGAGGGGAGTTAGTTTTACTGTAAACACCCCTGTTCAGACTAAAGTAGGCCCTCCTGCTCAGTTATAGGAGGTGAATGACTTACAAAAGGATTAATTATCCCCTCCACAGAAAGGACTTTTCTAGGCATTTTTAAAAATTATTCTTTCCCTACCAGCTGCTACACAAAGGGAGGGAATTTAGATTAATTAGATTTAATTATTATTTAAATCTAAATAATCAGCACACTGAGTGCCATACCAAAAAGCCTTGGACAGCACTTAGAAAATCTGCACATTGACAAAATTTCCGTCTGTCAATTACAAAAGGCCACACTGCTTGGATGCCAATACATTATGACATCCTAGGTTCTAGGGAAGAACTCGATGTGAATGAAGGCCTACACCAGCTAAAGAACTGGCAGTGGGATTTCACATTATTGTGAATAATAATAATAATAATAATAATAATAATAATAATAATAATAATAATATAGCCATTAATATATATACATATATAGCACCATAATAGTGGAAATGGCAGGAAGCAGCAGTCTCCCAGTCTTGTCACAACTGTAAGGGCTCAAACAGCGTCTGCTTCCTGACCAACCACGGTACACAGGGGTAAGCCAGTTGCCTAGGAGAGCAGATGGCTTGGTCCCTGCTGCCTTGAACATGGGATATGGATAAGTAAGATGCATGAAGAAGAACATAACCTAGTTCCATGACATTGTGAAATATTCCTTTCATTTAAAAACAATTCCTTTTTTCAGTATACCGTGGCCTTTTGGAATAGATTCTGTTCCAAACATTATTGTTTAAGTAGTTGGCTGGTATTTTATTTTATAAATTCTAACAACCGCACTTTGTAGATGCAGAGCGGGTAGCTATTAATGTACTGATCCTTCTCAGCCGTCCTTTCTGTCTTTGTTCCATTCTTCTTTTGCTCTTTGATCCCAGGTGCCAAACACCTTTGATACGGAATACGTGGCTTGTCAGTTAAGGCATTTGGGGATTTTAGAAGCCGTTTGTATCAGGAAAGGGGGCTATCCTATCCGCATCTCATTCCACCATTTCCTAACTAGGTAAAGATGTTCCTTCTCTTTCCTGTATCAACACATAATAATTTATTTAAAGTGTTTGTGTTCTACTTCTGTTTAAAAAATGTTGGACTTCTAGTAAAATTCAGTGCAGTTAAAAATATTGTGTAACGCATTAGAATAAAATATACAAAATAAAATATACAAAATAAAATAAACAAAAAGCAATGAAATAATAAATCAGAATAAAGGGTAAAAACAACAATAAAAAAGTCTAAGTCATCACAGTCACCTTAGCATCTTATTAAGCAGCCTGGGAGACTAAAACGTCTTCGCCTAGCCCCAAAAAGGCATTCCTTCTGCTGCAAAATTCAAGACTACCTTTGCCAGTTCAGGCAGGGAAGCAGATGGGCAGTACACTAGTAGAATCTGCAGCCTGCCCTGAGTACCCAACATAAGACAGAGATCTTGTTGTTCATTCCCCTGACATTTAGCAGCAGCACCTGCCTGGCAGAGAATCAGTCAGAATGGCCATTAGAGTCTTCTAGGCAAGAAAACAACCTGGAAGGGGGCACTTCTTGTTACCTGACAAGTTACTCCTGCAAATGAAGTCCTTCCCTCTACTTTTAATTACCGTAATTGGAGCCCCTCTTACCCCTCTCCAGGATATTATTGTAGGATTCTCTCAGACATGTAAAATAAACAGCTGTAATGGTCTGGGGAATATCCTTGAGTGGCAGGAGGAAGAAGAGCCGCAGCCAGGGCAATGGTCAGATAAGAGACATTTCAGTCCACAGGAGGAATGGGGAGGTGGAAAGTGTCTCAGAAGGGACCCTCCCTAGCTCCTTGGAAGGTAAAGGCAGGGAGGGGAGAA